ACTAGGTGAACGGATAAACATAAACGTACAGCACGTGAATCATCGAACACCTCATACTGATCATGGGAACTAATAACCTCGCCTGCAACCATCTGCAACGAGGCAGTGCTGGTCTTCAACAAAGGCTTCAAGAACGGTTCGAGCGTCGAGAAAACGAATACTACAGGATGTGACAACACAAGTTAATCCCATAGCCAATCACAATATCAAGAGCCGCAGTAGCTCGCACCGGAAATCCCGTCTTGAATCTTCTCAACAAGCGACTCCAAACCAGGGATCTTCTCAATGGTCATGCTGATCTTCTTCATCACCGAATCGCGGAAGCTCAACACCGACCACAAGATGGAGTGGAGCTCCTGCGGAGACATGTCTTCAGGACGCTTGCCATCGGCGCCTGCCCGTATGCGCTCGACGTGGTCGAGGTCGCGGCTCATGTCGCCGCCAACGCCCCCCGGTATGTTGGTGAACAGTTCACGAAGCGTGTTGGGCGAGCCCAAGCCGCGTCCTGAGGACCGCGCCTTGGTGGTGGCCTTGTCGAGTTCCTAGAGAAGATACATTTAAACTAAGCGCGTATGAGTAGATCAAAGGCTTACTTTGTTGAGGTCGGTGACAGATGCTTCGCTGAGATGATCCGAAGCCTCTGCGTCAAGATATGTAAGGGACATTTGCCGAAAAAAAAATCATCTATGCAAGACGTACCTCCTAACAGCGAATGCAAGAAATCACTGGACCCAAAAGTTCCTGTTCACGCTCCGTAAAGCCACATCCGAACGTAACAATTCGGAAAACTTACCCGTCACAATTGGGGCGACCATTTTGCCATCGGGCGCTTGGACGCGCACGGAATCCTTTCAAGGCAATGGTCAGTCTTGGTCACACAGCAAAGACAGGCACTTACCCCGACATGAACAAACACTTCAGTGTATCCCATTGAAACGAGCACGAGCTCGCAAAAGTTGCTATGGGCCGCGAAGTCCTCCAGCGTGTGGAGCTGACGCACACACACAGTCAGAACAGAGACATTCGTCGAGCTGCCTACGACCTACTGCAGTTCCGAGCAATCGATAACATTCGTATAAATCAGCCTTGTTCCCGGTGGACTTGTACTGTCGGCCAAGGTGAATGCAGCGCTCAATGAGCCTCCGTACCAGCGCTGTTGAGGTATCCCAATGTCCATTCTCTGATAGCGAGTTAAGTTCAAGCCTGACCCGATATGTGACGGACATACCGTTGGAAATGTAATTTTTCATACCGGTCCTGGGATCAATTTCCAACTCTATGTCCTCAACAGGCGGGCGCAATTTAGGATGATATTTGCGTGGATCTTCGCCTTGCCCATACCCCTTCGGGTTGTCGATGCTGGACAAGTGGTTATTTGGGAAACCGGGGTAAGACGATCATGGCTTACTGCTCAACAGGAAGATATGTGCCGAGGCGGTCCGCCGTCACCTCAAACTCGTTCGTGGCGTAGCCATGAGCCTGAACCAGACTTAATGAAATATTCTGCCCGAGAAAGACCGGCGCAACCCACCATGAAGCCAAGCACCATACATAAGTTGATGATCGTTTGTATCGGGACCTTCTTCAACGACGCGATGTCCACCGCCTGGAAACACGTCAGCAGGCAGATCTAATTAAAAAGAAGCCGCATATACCTGGCTATAGTCTCGAAGCCAGTTCCTGGAGAACGAAATGTAAATATTCTGAAAGACACGTGAGGACAGGACGCGCACCCGAAATACACTCGCTTGACGTCCAGGCCGCTGAATTTACGCCCTCCTTTGTTCCCAAGGAAGCTAGTCAGCACCGCGACGCCGCCTGCGCTCTTGGACAACTCGGAGAGCACATCTTCCTGCAGAGGAATCAGTCACTCGACTATTCGTGCAGTGTATCACTGGGGAACGTACAATATCACCGTGTCGAAAAGCCTTCCCTTCCAAGTACGCAAACTGCTCGCTGGCTTAGCACAATCATAAATCAAAAGCGCCTCTAAGATAACATACACTCGGTATACTGGAACAGTTGTCAGCCTACACAACAAGATCAACAGTTACGCGACACGTACTTCCCGGCACCAAAGGCCGCGACGCCATGGTGGGATATGCAGATGCAAAAGACGACAAATAATGTCGTATAGAACAATAACTGGTGGTTGTTGCTCGTCATGGTTTGTCTAGGAAAGAGAAAAACGTCGCAATCGATATTCGTTTATACGCAGGTGTGTCCCGTCCGCTTGGCAGAAGGGCTGTACGTCGAGCTCGAAAAGCGGTGCACCGCCTATGTACACGAAAGGCAATGTCACTGAGACTCCTGTCTGAATCGTCCAAACACTTTGAATTTGTCGATGGTAAAAAAACCCGGAGAACTTATGTAAGTCAAGTGCAGAAAGAAGCCGACACCACACACGATGACCGCACAATGCTCATTGACAATGATATGCATGACTCATTCATTGGAGGCCGGATGCATTGGAACTTCCATTCTAGGCATAGATCCGCCTGTCCTCGATACCGGCTCTCAAACACCACGAAAAGCGAGTTCTGAATCTTATCCAGAAATAGTAATATGAGCGAGTTCGCCGCTTTTTATAAATACTAGGCCAAAGTCTACAGAAGCGTATGGTAGGCAGATAGGATACAGAAAAAGGAGATCGGTCTATGGGTCGAAAAAGGTTCTCTATGATGGGGTGTAGCACGATCGCGAGCGGGTTTAAGACGTTAGCACCGTAAGGTCACGGACAATGGTGAAAAATGGTCTGGATGCATGTATGTACAATCAGCGGACATGACGCGAGGTGAGAAAGGCTGCACGAAAGTACTAGCAGGATCATGCGTACTATAAATCCAAACAAACTAGACGGCAGGCAGACAGAAGGCAAAACGCTAAGACAAACCAGTAGATGATGCGAAGGTGTGAAGACGAGTCAAAGGAGGGACATCAGCGACGACAACGACGCAAGATCGTTATGTGCGGATATATGGGCAAAAGTATACAACAGAAAGTCGTACAAATCAAAATTGTGACTGAATGGAAAGAGCGAAACATCCGCAAATATGGCTGACGTCGATTGCAGTGCAAACTCACGAAGATGTCAAGTAAACGTTTATTTGCCACCGGATTGCTTGAAAAGAACCAACCCTGCAAGGGCAATCGAATAACCTGTGAGCAAAACCTTAGATTGAAGCACTGAATCAAGGATATGGATGTTCACGCACCAAATATTTGTAACGGTGTCACTGACGAGCCAAAGATGAGCACGGAGCCCGTGATTAGGAGGATATCCTAAGTATACAGAAGCTGTCGGTAAAAGCCCACACTGTGATACGGAGCGCCGCACGAACCTTGAAGACGCCGGCGAGAGTGAGGATCAGACCGCTACCAACGCCAACGAGGAACACAGCCGCAACATTCAGGAGGAAGGCGACAAATGCGTTGCTTAGCATAGTACCAGCGCCCACATGCGAAAGTGCATAGAACGGAGCTAGACCTGCGCGACATATGTCAATTAATTGATTCATACTTAGGAAACAAAGAACACACCTTCAGTGAATGGCAGACACGCAAGGTTGATTGTAGCGCAAACGGGTGCATAATAGTGCAGTGACACGAGGGGGTCCATCTTTAGACCCTGCAAAAGAATCTGGATCATAACTAGGCGTGATGCCTCAAACTGCCATTCCGCATGTCAGCATACACTGACAAGATGCAGGGAGAAAATAAATAGTACGTACTGCGACAGCGATGGCTTGCATGATGAAACCAAACATGTTGAAATGTAGTTCGCCCCGTGATGCGAGCGCGACGCCAGATGAAATCATGCAGACAATAATAGCAAGCTTTTTGTTGGGCTCTTGAATCTTGAACGTCCATGAAATGAGCAAGATTGCCACAGGGTTGAACGCCTGTAGATGTGTGCCCGGTCAATACTTGTGGATCGAACATTGAGCAAGCGAAAGGAAGGTCTTGCAAAAGCAATTCCCAAAGAGATTGTCAAAGATATTTTTTGCGCTGCAAGTGATCGGCCTGAAAATCGATATCTCGATGTCGCTTTCCGGACACACACTACCGCCGATGACATCTGACATTGAGGAGAGAAGGGGAAAATGGTTTCTGTGTAACGTGAAGAGAGGAAGCAGAAAAAGGCCGAGTGGGAAACATCCTGCAAGCTCACGCACCTTGAGCATCTGAATGTATGATACACTCAAATAAAGATAGGCGGTGTTGCTCATGATGAGACTGCCGCTAAAGAGGAAACCGATGGGGAGGATGGACTTGAAAAACATATTTTTCGATATGTTAACGTCCTTGACGGCATCGAGCAGATGCGTTGTGCGTTGCAACACGCGCGTGCCAATCGCCTGGAAATGGGTGCGGGTAAGACATGCCGACGAGGGAACAGAGGAGGAACGCACGCACCGCAAAGAACAGGTGCCATGTCACGGTAAATACGGGATACTTGAAGTCCAAGGTGTTGTACAGATAGTTGTTGTAAATGATTACAGACGATGAGAGAACGATCCAGATGGGTATTATGGCCGCAGCCGACAGCTTGGGCTTCGAACGAGGTGCAGAGGCCGTGGCTGGTATGGGCAACGAAGCGCTCTCATCGTCCTCAGGTTTAGGATCAAACTGCGGGGACCGTGATGTGTTGTGCACGTTGGCCTCCTCAGTATCTGCACCGTCCTGGTTTGCGAGCATAGGGTGCTTCTCGTGGTCGTCGGCGGCAGACATCATCGTGAGGTGCAGAACCAAGCGCTGCGCCAAATTTAAAGGAGAGCTATACAGAAGAGGAAAATCAGAAAAAGTTGCAAGCAAGCGCAAACAACGGCCGCACAATGAAATGAAATGCAAAAGACAAGAACGATTTTGAGCCGCAATATTCAATGCGCGACTTAGACGGTGCGGATCAATTGCAATCACTACGCGTGTTCCCCATTTGGAAAACCGGTTCTGTACATATGTATTGTACATAATATTATACAATAATATTATACAATGAGACATCAGTGGTGAAACGGTTATCATGCCTGCCTTCCATTGGCAGGAGACATAATGTTTGTTAGCAGGCGGCGGGGGTTCGACTCCCTCCTGATGTACTTTGTTCCTGTTTTGTCCTTTTGCCTTGGGCATCTCAAAGGACTTGTCTCTGCTTCGTGGTATGGCAAGCATCTTTTCTTTTAATTATAGAAACCATCTTGTTGAACACAACATGCAATGTATCCTATTTTGGGTAGAAATATGATTAAAATATTGAAGATCTTTTTAAGATATTCATTTCTTTTTCATTTTTGTGTGAATATTTATTGAATATGATAAAAATATCGTAAAATTTTGGAAATATCATAACAAAATTTAAACTATTTCATTCCTATTTTGTGGGAAAATAAGAAAGAAACATATTTCCTACCAAAATAGTTTACAATGCATGTTGTGGAAGGTTTATTGTGTTCTTCAGTTTCATGCTCAGAGGTGTGACTCATCGAGGGGTTTCCCTTTTTGTACACCTTTCCCTTTTTTGGCCTTGCGCTCATCAGTCATTTTCCAGATTTCCGACTTGAGCTTCTGCTCTCGCGCCGGTCATTGTCTCGAAACCCATAATAAGTAGCCTGGCATCGTGAAGTAGCTGCCTCTATTGCTAGACTATAGGACTTTGCCCTCAATAGCTTCAATTTCGAGCCCTGCCGTTTTCAATAGTCGGTCGACCCTCCGTTGCCAGTATCGATTCTTGACGTCGATTATTGACGTCGATTCTTGACGTTATAGTAACGAGCCAGTGGTAGGGTTTTCTTCAGCACACTTAACTTTCTCGCGTTTGAAGGATTCTGTTGGCAGTAACTTCCAATAATCTCTAGATTAAGCTATGCATCGACTCACGAGAAGGCTGAAGGTGAGAGGTAAAGCACCACGCCTGTCCCGTGCGCTCGTCCCCGCCATGCCCGCTGCACTCAGGACCTATGCAACCGAGGCATCCACACCGAAGCGTCTCCGGTCCCCATGGATGACGACTCTCTTTCTCTTCGGCGCTGGTTGCGTCGGCTACGGTCTGTGCGTGTGCATCTCTCTATTCCCGCCTATTCTACCACTTATGCAATCACTTGCACCTGACAGGTATGACCTCTACAAAATGCTCACCCTGTGGCCACCAGAATTGCGCGACGATCTGCGCAGCGCAATCCAGGCTAAACACAAGGGTGAATTTTCTCTTAGCGAGGCGTACTTCCAGAGGTCCGCCGCTACACCCGTTTGCATGCAGTCTCGAAAGCAATATCCTATTTTTCAGGGCGTGGGAGATCGCGCAGGCACTGGCTCTCGATGTTTTCGGAAGGGAGCCGTATCTCAAGCTGTCGGGTATTCTGATAGCCCTAGCTGACGCATTCGAGGTTGAGGACAAGCAGAACGAGGCATACGACACATACGTTCGCGCGTACGAGTACCTCGTCGACCCTGCGCGCAGCGAGACCCTCACCCCACGCGAGCAGCTCCGCGTCGTCGCGGTAGCCACGAAGCTCGGTGAGATGGCGGAGAAGCTGAAGAAGCCGCAGGCTGAGGAAGAGAAGTACTTGGAGGCCGCGGTGAACAGGATCGTAAAAGTATTGCTTCCTTTGCAAGGAGCACAGCAGGGCGCGGCGGTGGCATCGGACGAGAAGTCCACGCCAGACACGCTGCCGTCCTCTTCTGCGCTCTCGATCGAACTGCCGCCCTCGGACGAGCCAAGCCAGCTTCTGCTCGCGGAGCTCGATCTCCCCGAGTGGGTGACCATCGAGGATGTTGGTGCCCCGCTCCAAAATGCCGCCGCTTTCTACACACGCATCGGCAGATATGAGTATGTGTCGTCAGTGCTTTCGTTTCACTGTGCTGAATATTTTTTCTGCCCAGCCTTGCCATGCCCTTGTACCTTCACGCCATTTCCCTCCTGATTCCTCCCGCACCCCGAAAAACAATTCCGCAGGACCGTTGTAGAGGTCCGATGCGCATTTTCTCCTCCGTATGACGCCATTGACACCCGCATTTCAGGTGCACAAATGATGGTCGCACTCTCAGAAGCGATTTTACGGAATCCTAAAAATCCACAGAGACTAGAACAAGCATACGCCTGGTGTGAAAAGGCTCTGGAGGTGGTGCAGGAGACGCGCAAGGGTTTGACGAAGGGCAAGTCGCCGCCAGAGCCGCTGTGCGAAGTAACGTTTGTGGTCGTTCTGTTCAGTCTCGGTATGGTTGCGGAGGTCCGTTATTTTCCTCACTGTTTATTTTTGCATGTTCGCTTCATCTCCGCTCGTGCTGACGATTGTTATAGGCGCAAGGTGACAAAGCGAAATCTCACCGACTGCTGAGCCTCGGCATAAGGCACGCACGGAGTATTGGGCTGGACCTCGGTGACAGTACGAAGGAGCAACTGGAGGATCACGGCGTAGAGACGAAGGATGATGCTGAAAAGGAACCAGTTAGCGGGGAAGCCTCGTCAACTGCACACTAGTGCCAGAGCACCACCCACACAACTGCCCGCACCCGTAGGAATTTCCCGTTACCTCACTCCCTTTTCACACCACTACCACTGCAACAGTCGTTACATGTCCACAATGTGTCATTGTCAGGCGGGGTTGCCAACATTTGAGCGAGTACCAGAGTGAGACGTATTTTCCTGTACATGCATGCAGCGCACAGGCCATTATGACGGCTGTTTAGTTTGAGAATGCATTGCCGATTTTTTGAGCCGATGATTTTTTTTTTCAGCATCGATATACTATCGGACCCGTTCGGCGTTGTGGGAGCATTTTGAATTGTAGTACCATGGCAACACGCGTTTCCGTCGTTGTCGCGGGGCATCCCATCTGTAGTCGCACAAGTAACCAGCCAGTACACAAGTTTCTCCTCTACCACCCATTCGCCGCGAGCCTTTTGGCTGTGCAGCGTTTTTCTCCTCTACGTCGTAGACGTCGTTTATGCTTGCTTGGGCCGGTTCCCGGTGCCGCCGCGACGGTACCATTAGCGGGTAGAACTACTATTGTTCGAAAAGATTTGGGCCTTTGCTATTGTTCCCTTGCGTTTCCATATACCTTTTCGACAACAACGGGCCAAATACTTTTTTGACCGCGACTATCATCTTCTCCAGCACCAAGTCGAGCAGCAGCAGTGAGCTGTAGAAGTTCAGCAACTGTGACCGTACCACCTATCACACTCGCACCGTGTGCTGTCCGCTGTGCCGACGTCTTTTATACATTCGCTCCAAGTTCGACGTGTTCAGCGCATTTTTTCTGACGCGTATCCAATACCATGCCTGAACAAAGCAAGACTACGAAAGCCCAGCCGCAGTCCAACGCTGCGGCGCCCCGAAAAGTCAAGTTTAGTGTGGGTCAGTATTTCACCTCCACACCTCCATGGCGCCCCGCGGCATTCTCACTAATTTCTTTACACCGGATACAGGCACCCAGTACCAGGTCCTGGACGTCGTCGGCGAGGGCGCTTATGGTATTGTATGCTCTGCAATCCACAGGCCCAGTGGCCGCAAGGTCGCGATCAAGAAGATCGCTCCCTTCGACCATTCCATGTTCTGCCTCCGCACGCTCCGCGAGCTAAAGCTGCTCAAGTTCTTGAGTGAGGCTGGTGTCAGCGAGAACGTGAGTACGACGAAAAAAAGGTGCACCGCAAAGATTAAATTTTCTGTATGGCAGATTATCTCTATTTTGGACATCATCAAGCCGCCGTCCCTCGAGGCCTTCAAAGAAGTCTACCTTATCCAGGAGCTTATGGAGACCGATATGCATCGCGTCATCCGCACTCAGGACCTTTCCGACGACCATGCTCAGTACTTTGTTTACCAGACCTTGCGTGCGCTCAAGGCGCTGCATTCGGCGGACGTCATCCATCGTGACCTTAAGCCATCAAACCTACTGTTGAACGCGAACTGCGATCTCAAGGTCTGCGACTTCGGGCTCGCGCGTTCTGTTAAGACGGCTGAGCCGTCGGGTACCGAGACTGGCTTCATGACCGAATACGTCGCCACGCGATGGTACCGCGCACCCGAAATCATGCTCACCTTCAAGCAGTACACGAAAGCCATCGACGTGTGGTCCGTTGGCTGCATTCTCGCCGAGATGCTTTCTGGAAAGCCGCTCTTCCCCGGCCGTGATTATCACCACCAGCTCACGCTCATCCTTGACGTACTTGGTACGCCGACCCTCGATGAATTCTACGCTATCACCACCCGCCGTTCGCGCGATTACATCCGCGCGTTGCCCTTCCGCAAGAAACGTTCCTTCGCCACCCTCTTTCCGAACGCAAATCCGCTGGCTATCGACTTCCTGTCGAAGACGCTCACATTCGACCCGAAGAAGCGTATCACCGTTGAGGATGCGCTGGCCCACCCATACCTCGAAGCCTATGTATGTATACTGTATTACATGCCAATAGGCTTTGTTGACGTCGAACATTTCCAGCATGATCCCGACGATGAGCCTGTTGCACCGCCATTGGATCCTGATTTCTTTGAATTTGACTGTACGTTGTCTCGCTCAGCGAACCTTCATACTTCCCTACTCACATTCTTCTATTAGTGCATAAGGATGATATCAGCCGTGAACAACTCAAGGAGCTTCTGTACGAAGAGATTATGTCGTTCCGCCCTGCGCCCATCTCTTGATATTGGTCTACAACGCGCCTTCGAGAGGCAGTGTTCTTGTCGTGTTGTAAGAGTAATCACACGTTCCTCTCCTCCACACATTCTGATGCCTTATGCCAGATCATTTGTCTTGCTATATCTCAACAATTGATAGGAAAATGCACTTTTCTATACGGACATTCGCAAGTACCCTGTCGTCCACATGGTCTTCGTCTTTGCTCCATCGTATCCTTTGTCGTGATCTTCGGAGGCCGACGAGCATCTGCACTATTTAACTTCCAGTTTTCCCACGCCTGGATTATCGTCCGATCAATGTTTGTTTGAGCCCCACTTGCCCTTTTTCCATAATATCATTATGTCTGATACTATTGGCTAGCTATTGGGCATTTCGTTGTATTGTACAGGATCTACAGCATCTGTTCTCTCGTCTGTTTATTGTTGTTCTCATCTTTTTTGTCTCGCCATTTCCCTCTTGTGCGTCATATGTTATTCCCATCCCCTCATCTTTTTTAGTTATTTAATTGTCAGTCTCCGGTGCTAACCAGGATACGATGCAATATATACAACTTAGACCTTTTCTTTCGCCTCTTTCCGAGGTTTCGACTGCCAGGTCGTCGATTCAAAGGGTCTGTCGTGCAGACTAGTCTTGTTCTTGTTCTTGCAGGAACAGTCCGATCGTAGGGTCGCGTCACGTGTGTATGCAAATAAAACCAAAGCCATCAGACGCGCCTGTATAAGGCAGGAGAGATTCTATATCGGGAATGCTTACTCAACTTTCTCGCACCTTTCCATCTTTTGGGTTCATATATTTTACGTGCTGACTTCGTGGGCATGTGCAGGTTCTGCAGGTTCTGTGCGGGCATTCATGCACGCACGACGTGCGGCCAATTGACCCGGTGCCCTTGGATCGTTGATAACGAACTCGCGCATGATAGTACACACCTTGGGCGTGGGTATCGCATACTACAGGTTCTGATGTCGACACTTGCGCTGAAGGATTGCTAAATGAGGCATAGCGGCGATGACGAGATATAGTACTATTAGGTATCCACCTTGCAGCAGATATCCCATCCGTCGATCCTCACTCACCAGACTTTCAGAAGCGAAGACAGGAGTGTACATCTGTCAGTTATCGCCGGAGGATATGGTTTCCCAGGTGCTGCAATTCGATGTCTATGGAACACTTATTGTACGTTGTTCCTTAGCCGCCCGTCATCAATCGCCTGCCTTCTCTTTCCTGGGCTTACTATTATGTGTGTAGGACTGGGATTCTGGACTATATGCTGCACTGCAACCGCTGTTGAATCGGTATCTCGCCTCGGCTAGCTGGTCGCGCGAGCAAGCGCTCCTGACCTTTGACCAGCTCGAGGTCGATATGAAGGCGTGTTACCCCACCATGCTCCATCCTGATATCCTCTCTCGGGTGCACGAGGCCATGGAAGAAAAAATACGGGCTCTTAGCCCCTTGGACACGACTCTTCCTCCGCTCACGTCCGACGAGGAGCGACACGCCTTCGGCTTCTGTCCGAAAACCTTCGAGGTCTTCCCGGATACGCCGGACGCACTGCAGCGCCTCGCGCAGCACTTCAAGCTCGTCGTGCTGTCGAACATCGACAACCAATGCTTCGCACACACACTTGCACGCATGTCCGCACCTGCAGAGTACCCCGCGTGCGTCGACACGTACACCCGCCCGCCTGGCACCGTGCGTTGGTTGCCGCAGAACGTGCCGCGCTCGCGCTCGCCTTTCACGTTTATCTTGACCGCGCAGGACACGGGAGTGTACAAGCCGGATCTGCTGGGATTTCGGACGATGATCGCGCGTCTGAGCGATGTGCCTGAGCTCGCGCCAAATGCGGGCAAGGAAGGGCTGTTCGTCGTCGCGAACGACCTCCGCATCGACCACGTGCCCGCTCAGGAACTTGGGATCCGTAGTGTGTGGATTGACAGGCGTGGAATCGGGGAAGAGGCTGCGATTCGGTGGCTTGGAGGCAAGAAGTGGCAACGGCGCTTCACGACACTAGGTGAGATGGCTGATGCAGTTGAAAGAGGTGAATTCCCTTGAGGCTCGGATGTGGAAGGCCAACTATATCAATCTTTGAAAAGGCTTCACTTTGGTATTCTAGACGAGAATGGTGTTGAACTCACAGATGAGCAAATTTCCAGTGTCCATGCATAGTTAAATAAATAATTCTGTAAGCGGGAACGACACCTGTAAAAGGCTAAGTGAAGGACTCACATAGAAGCAGGAACATCACAAAGAAGCCACGAATGAATGTTGCGTATCGCAGAAGAGGCTCAATAAATGCGGAAGTTCTAAATATGTGTACCTCTTGTAGATGCTCCAGGAACGATGGCGAAACGGAATGTGGGATGGGAATAAAAATAATGGATAGTGAAGAAGAAAACGCGCGCAACGGGTTGGCCTTGAGCCCCGTTCAAAACATCATATGCAACAGAGTAAATCAAGCTCTAAAACAAGCTTGGAAAACAAAATGAAAATATGTACAAAATATACATGCTTGAAAAGCAAAACATAATGACACAAGCCGATTCGGATACGGGGAATCGAACCCCGAGCTTGCGCGTCCTGTAATGAGAGGCGCAAATGTTAGCCGTTACACCATATCCGACTCCTCTTATGCACTACGCCTATTGTCTAAAATTTGCTTGTAAGTTGCTAAGAAACCATGTTACCGCGCGCGCCTCGCCCAAGCCCCGCCCTGCCCCGCCCTCGCCCACGGTCCGTCAACGGTTAGTCAACACAACCCCGACTCATCCTCGACCCTTCGCGACTCATATGTTCCGCCCTCACCAACCTCGCGCTTGCTGTCCGGGTAGATGTCCGGGTAGATACGTGTCCGCCGTCATCCTTTAAAGTGTGGCACCTCCAGCGACGAACGCCCAGTATTACTGAATAACTTTCACCTAACTCGCATCCTCTCATTATGAAGCATCCCTCCGTTGCGTCTTTTGATGACCTGAGGATGAAGTTGTTGGTAAGTGCGACTACATGTCTTCTCGAGGCTATTCGGCATATTCCCTTCCAATTTGCGTTTCCTCTTCCGATCGCTCGTTTGTTCTTACCACTAAACGCTGATTCCAGTCCAAAATTCCGCACGCACGTCAAGGCGCGTCGGCAGCAAAGCCGCCCATGAAGGGGCCGGATGGTGAGAGTCAGATTCGAAGTTAGTAGCTAGTAACAGGTTTTGACGTGTGGCATCTGGAAGATGAAGGCACTCGTCCTTCGCCGCCATCGTCAGATCATTCAGAACACCATACGCTGCTGCAAGTTTTCGACCGCGCACATAGCATGCCGCTGATGTGACGACACCGTGGCCTATTTTAAAGCCTGCACCAGCAGTGTATGACGTTGATGGAGACGCTGGCACTGTTACCTGGAAGTATCTTTCAGGATTCTGATGCTTCCCGATATGACCTACGATTCACCAACTTACAATGTAATGCAAACCGATTTTTGCATGTGTGTGACCGTTCGAAAAAGACCATTTCCACCACACTTGTGCATGTGCTTTTGGCTACATGAGAACAACAATGCGAACGAAATGTGATCTGATTCAAAGAGGTAATCAGCGCGAGACTCATGAAAAACTTGTAAACATGAATATATGGCAATGCTGAGCAAAAAACATGTACCTTGCAGGCCGTAACCCACAGTGGCCAAGAGCAAGGGATAAACGACGGACCACGACGTGACAGGACATAACTTGCGATTGTTTCATATGGATGATACATAGACGGGCCTATGGGAATGCGATGATTGCCAATATACCAGCGCTCACTGCTAACGTATTTATTTCCGCCAACTCGCCACATTTTGATGCGTCTTCGTCCCCTATCACATCACGACCAACGTATTGGAGGAAGGGGCTCAGCGCGTATTGCGGACAGATCAACAGCTTGGTCGACGGCTTCATCGATTTCACCAATAAGCGTTCTGTAAGCAGCGCACTCAGTTCCCCATTGAAGTGCATCCACGAAAAGACTGAACACACATCATGTCGCCCTTCACGAGATATAATCCTAGAGGTATTTCTTCGACACCCTCTTCCATACTGTAAACACGCTCTTTTGAGTCGGAGAGGACGACGTTAGATTTTTGGTCATAGCCGGCCATTATGCCCTGCACGCACACATCAACAATTACAGTATGACGAAGTAATGCGTGAGTTACGACGCATAAGCTTGATCAGCTCGATGTATCGATGGCATTGCGGGAGATAATACACACCACGATGGCTCGCCCATCTTGCAGAACGAGTAGTACACGACCTGCGATCGCGAAGATGGAGATCAGCGAAAAAAAAAGTGAGTGAGTGGGTGGGGAACGCACGGTCAACATAGCCCTGAAGACTGGACATCGTCTACGACCAAGCTCACGACTGTACGTCGGCGCTCGTCACTGTCGGGTTGCAGCTGGCCTCGGCGTTTCTGGACGGTCCGCAGAACAGAGACTGTGAAAGTTATCAATGCAGTGCGCCCGGTTGTTAACAATAGTAGACAGATCGACGCCCATGCATAGTGTATGTTGATGGGATCGATCAAGCGCATCACGATCGCTCTCCAATGTTCTCTTCTTCCAGCTTTGGGATTTTCAGGCATACAACCATGTCGCCAGTATAGACTCTCTATATTTCTTGTTTTTCTCGGGAAACAAGTGCGCAGGACATGCTGCCATGGTCGATTTTCTTTTGCTGTATTGGACGCCGTGTCCATAAGAACACAGATATCTCCGACGAGACCAGCCGTCTAATCCCGCCAGAGCTTTCTGTGTCGTCAGACCGCCAACAATTCGAGTGAGTTGTTAGCGATTGCTTCAAGACGACACTGGATAAAACAAGTTTCCTGTTTTGTACAGGAGTACGCCTTCTACGCCGGACGTACGCCGTGAGGAGCATCTGAGAAGCATTATTTCATCGTTCGGAGGGTGAGCCAAGTTTCCCTGCTCTAATAATCCTCGAGTGTTCATAGTATCATGATCCACCCTCGATTTTGTGGTCTTTTCACTCCCTCCGTCCAGAAAAATGGTCGACGTGAACGCCAAACGTCCTTTTACGGGTGTACCTCCGAGCCTCAGCACCGACAGTTTCGATGACTATTCCACTTCCTCCCGCGCCGATTATCTCGAGCGTGTCGGTCGCTGCCCACCGTCGCCTGCTCCGTATAGCATCGGGGGACACGATGTGTTGTGTGAAGGGCGTGAGGAACTAGGTCTTCACACACATGTCGTGCTGCCCGACTCATACGCGACAACGCAGGGTCCCAACACAAGTTCATCGCAGACATCGAGGGGATCTCCCAAAAATTCTGTGGAACCTGTTGTGTCTGCGGGTACCTCATCAGCGCGTGCTGAGGGAAACCCTTCGCTAGAGACGGGTCCTACAACATCTACGTCGAAGCAGCCGTCTGCCGCAACTGAACTTGAGTTCGACGTGGGGCCCATATCATTAGATTGGGATGACTGATCTCACTTTCCGACGGATTGAAAGTGCAACTGTACTGAGTATGGCCTCTGGACACCAAGTTCCCGTTCTATGAGCACTATCATATATTTCTGATAAAGAGAGAAAGCAGAAGTTATACAATGACTGGTGATTGAACTTGGTCGATGGGCTCGAGCTCGTTCGCATCTCTGTTGTCTAGCAAGAAGCTTACATTGCCGTGGACTACTTAGCCGTGGACTACTTAGCCGTGGACTACTTAGCGATTTCATAATCACAATCCAGCAGATAGAGTGGTTATTTTTCTGTCCCCGCGGGATGCGCACCTAGTTGATGTACGTGCCTTCCAAGTTTCAACACACGAGTTATACGAGGAACCAAGTAGTCGACACTGCGAAAGATATGCATTATAATATGGATAATCAAATGACAATCAAATGGCACACATTTTCTTATAAATCTATCCGTCCCGCCGTGCGAGGAACCGGTATACATTCCTTCACATGTTCAATCCCGCCGACCCAGCCCACAAAGCGCTCGAACCCAATGCCAAACCCACCGTGAGGCGCGGACCCGTGTTTCCGCAAGGACAAGTACCAGTCATAAGGTCCCCCAGGACTGGCTCCCGTCTCCTCCGTTGAGTTGCGCTGACCAGAAACCAGACCGTATCTTTCCATATTAGCTTTTAGCACGTTGTATCGATCCTCCCGGACGCTACCGCCTGCGAGCTCGCCCATGTGCGGGACAAGCAAGTCAAAACACGCGACTAATGGCATTTCACGGGAAGGATCTGTGCAAAATTGCGGTGAGTGAAAGGTCAGAGTTTCCCGTAAGACGCCTTCATAAGAAGAAGAGTATGAAAGTACCTATGGATCGCATGTACCATGCTTTGACAACCTGTGGATATTCGGTGATGAAGACAGGCCCCTGTATCACCTCTTCGGCGAGGTATCGCTCGTGTTCAGAGGCAAGCGAAGCACCTAACTGTGGCGGGATAGCAAACGACCGCTGCGCGTGCCGTGCCTGCAAAACCCCAACAGCCTCGGTGTACGTCATGCGCGGCCAGCGAGCGAGGGCGTCACTGACGCTACGGAGAGCGTCCACACGCGAGGTCGCAGGGCCGTTCAGCAGCTGAATATCCGACGTGCACGTCGCGTCTGCCATGGCATGCGCAATCGTGTGCCGCACGAGGTCCTCGACTACGTCGCACAGCTCCTGCAGGTCTCCGCCGTCGTTTGCAGGGGCAGAGAGGCCCCACTCGGCCTCGAGCATCCAGAACTCAGCGAGATGCCGGTTGGTGTGACTGCGCTCCGCGCGGAAGGTGGGATTCAGCGTATACACACGCGACATGGCCGTCTGGAATGCCTCGAGATGCAGCTGAGACGAGACAGTGAGATGTGCAGGCAATGAGAAGAATTCAGATAGTGCGTCGGAGTATGTTTCTTTCGTTGGTGCGATTCGGAAAGTCTCGCCGGCACCTTCGGTGTCGTTGGCGGTTAGTATTGGCGTGTGAATATAGACGAATTCCTGGGACTGGCGCAAATTCGCTGGGTGAAAGTTAATTGTGGAATGCAAGCTCAAACGCACCTTGAAATATGAGTGTATGCCCTGCATAAGCTTGTCGCGAAGGCGCAGCATGGCTGCTATCCTCTCTGTCCGAGCTCGGAAGTGTACATTGTTGCGTAGGTACTCAAGACTTAGTTCCTTCTTTTGTATTGGGTATGTTTCTGGCGGGCAGGCACCTAGCACTTGCAATTCTTCGACCCGCAATTCCTTGTCTTGGCCCACTCCCGGGGAATCTACTAATTTTCCTTCCAGACGAACGCAGGCGCCATTGGTCAAGCTAGAGACAACGCAGGACGTGTTCAGGTGCAAAGACAATTGGAAACCTGCCTTACAAACCTTTTAACCGTGTCCGTCGTCTTGAAAACAACCTGGAGGGAATTAGATGTACTGCCGTCCGATATCATAGCGAACGACACGGATTTTTGGCATCGAATTGATTTTACCCAGCCAGATACAGACACTCTATTGTCGCTGCCAGCGGTTTCTGAAGTCAAGAGCTTTTTAATACTAGAAGGTAGCATACGCGGCTGGTACGCCTGCGACCGAGTGGCGTAGGGACGCTGTGCATTCAATAGACGTCGCCGAATACAAAGTGGTGGCGAGTG